TTGATTGTGGAACCAAGTAATATCAAGTCTTTGACAGCTTCAATCTTTTCTCCATCTATCATGATGCTACTTATTGGTCTAGTTGTAAGGATTTTTGTTTTCTTAATATTGAGGTGTAATCCATACAGCAGACTGTAGTCTTTAATCTTCATCAGTAAGTGCTCCAAGTTATCCTCACTTTCTGCACGCAAAGTTGTATCATCTGCATATGGCGGCAGCTTGTTAATGAGCCTTCCCCCAATCCTGATGCCACATTCTTCTTCATATAGTCTACTTTCTTGGATTATTTGCTCAGCATATAGATTGAATAAGTATGGGGAAAGGATACCACCCTGACACACTCCCTTCCTGTGGTATCCCCTTGTTCTATTCAAACAGCAGCCTCCTGGTCTATGCACAGGTTCCTCATGAGCACAATTAAGTGTTCTGGAATTGCCATTCTTCTCAATGTTATCCATAATTTGTTATGATCCATGCAATCAAAAGCTTTTGCATAGTCAATAAAACACAAGTAAACCTCTTTCTGGTATTCTTTGCTTTGAGCCATAATCCATCTGATATCAGCTATGATATCCTTTGCTTAACATCTTCTGAGTCCAGCTTGTATTTCTGGAAGTTCTGTCAATATACTGCTACAATCGATTTTGAATTATCTTCAGTGAGATCTTACTTGCATGTGATATCAAAGATATTGTTTGATAATTTTCCCATTCTGTGGGATCACCTTTCTTTGGAATGAGTACAAATCTGGATCTTTTCCAGTCACTTGGCCAGGTAGATATCTTCCAAATCTCTTGGCATACCCGAGTGAGTGTCTTCAGTGCAGCATCCGTTTGTTGAAACATCTTAATGGGTACTCTGCCTGGAGCCTTGGTTTTCACCAATTCCTTCAGTGCGGCTTCAACTTCTTCCTTCAATACCATATGTTCTTGATCATATGCCACCTCCTGAAATAAATGGTTATCTACCAATTATTTTTGGTATAGTGACTCTGTGTATTCCATCATCTTCTTTTGATGTTTCCTGCATCATTCAACATATTGCCTGTGGAATCTTTCAGCATTGCAATTCTAGGCTTAAATTTTTTTCCTCAGTTCTTCTAGCTTGAGAATTGCCAAGCGAGTTCTTTACTTTTGGTTTTCTAACTCCAAGTCTTTGCACATTTCATTATAGTAATTGGCTTTGTCTTCTCAAGCTGCTCTTTGAAATCTTCTCTTCAACTCTTTCATTCTTTCAACTCTTCCATCTGCTTTAGCTACTCTCCATTCGAGGGCAAGTTTCAGAATCTCTTCTGACCTCCATGTGGGACTTCAGTTAGTACTTTTATTAACTTAGCCTTTTCTTAGCCTCTTCTACTCTCCCCACCCTCCATCCAGTCTATGAGATGATATTGTCATCAGTTCTACCACAAGTGCTGCTCTGAGCCAGGATGGGCCAGAAGGCCTAGGTGAAATGAAAATAAAGGTCAGTCACCCACTGGGCCTCTGGAAATAGATTCTCAGAGCATGCATGAGTCTAAAGGATTAGGAATGTCAATTTGGGTATTTACATTAAGCCAAACATCAGGTAAGTCTTTTACTACCATTTATGACTTCATATAGATTAATAAACATTTCTCTATGCTTCATAATTATTTGTCAGCTTTTAAAGATAAGCCAAACTCACTAGGGTCAAAAGGCTTTGTTTAATGAATTTATCCTAGTGTTACAAGTGTTTTTGCTAATGACAGTAACCAAAACAAAGTAAGCAGGAAGAGAACATCTTAAGATTAGATTTCCAAGGCAGTATCTCTACGGAAGTAAATTGCCCAGTCTTCCTTCTGAGGAGTGACTGGTGGGTTTGAACCACCAGCCTTCTGGTTAGCAGTCAGATGCCATAGGCACTACACCAGCAGAGCTCCTTAATGTAGATGATAGAGGTTATAATCATGTCAAGGCATATTGAGTTGTTTGAACACTGATAAAGGTACTGGCACTCTTGCATAGAGAGATTCACCCTAACTTAGTATGGATGAAGCTCAGGCTTCAGGGTCAGATAAAGCTGGGCTTGCATTTGGACTCCCCAGTTTTTCCTGGGCACACAACTTCTGAGTTCTAATTTAGTCTGTTAAATGGGAATAATGATGTCTATCTTACAGGATTGTTAAAATGAATACATTTAATAGTGTATGTAAACTCCCTAAGACTGAAATATGAGAATCAAACTGAACCCATTGCCATTGACAATAGCAGACTTATGGCGACCCTTAAGGACAGAGGAGCACTGCTCCGTAGGGTTAATACTGGTACAAAGGACAGTTAAAAATAAAACAAACTCACTGCCATCAAGTCGGATCTGACTCATAGTGACCGCTCCTTGGGTTTCTGAGGCAGTATCACTACAGAAGTAGATTGCCCAACCTTCCTTCCGAGGAGTGGCTGGTGGGTTTGAACTGCCAGCCTTCTGGTTAGCAGTCAAATGCCTTAGG